CTGCACTCCAGTCTGGGTGACAGAGTGAGACTCCAACTAAAAAAAAAAAAAAAAAAGAAATGGAAAGACATGCCAGGAAATGAGGAGGATAATAAACTAAGAGGGCTCCAATAGCTTATGAAGGAAGTGGGTTATCAATGACCCTACAGCCAAGCCCACCTCCTACTTCTATCTTCCCTCAAAATGTCTCATGCAGGCTGGTAGCTTTGCATAGGCAGAGCACTGCAGCTTGTTTCATTTAAATTACTTATGTGGGCCAGGCATGGTGGCTCACACCTGTAATTCCAGCATTTTTGGGAGGCTAAGGTGGGAAGATCACTTGAGACCAGGAGTTTGAGACCTGCCTAAGCAACATAGCAAGACCCTGTCTCTACAAAAATAAAAATATATAGTTGGGCATGGTGGTATGCGCCTGTAGTCCAGCTACTGGGGAGGCTGAAGAGGGAGGATCACTTGAGCCCAGGAGTTTGAGACTGCAGTTAGCTCTAATCACACCACTGCACTCCAACCTAGGCAACAGAGTGAGACCTTGATTCTTTAAAAAAAAAAATTTATTTATGTGCTCTTGTGGGCATATCAATGCCTGACTTACAGCATTTGATACATGACATTCACAACTGAGGCAAAGTCTTCTTAGTAAATAGCATTTCATTCTTTTTTTAAAAAAAATTTTACTAACCAAAAAGAAGCACTAAAAAACAGCATTTCATTTTTATATCTCTGCTTTACATATTTATTAAGTGATTCAATGAATCACATGAACTGACTACAATGGCACTGAAAAGTCCAAACCCAGATCTCAAACCCTGTAAAAGAAATACCTATATGAAAAAGCTGAATCCTGAGGGTGAGCAGCTTGGCTCGCAGAGTCTGGGAGATCATCAGCCGAGATGTTCTGCAGCGTTTCATCTCGAGGAGAATCATGTGCACTTTCATCACCCATAACCTCTAAACAAAACCCACCCCCAGAAAAGGGATAACCAGGTTAATTTGGAGTATTTTGGCACAAGTCGGTATTCAGAACAACTCAACAATATATTAGCATTGACTTAAGGTAAAAGTTCTTTGGCAAAAAAGAAAAAAACTTCAAACACTTTAATCAAGTAGTCTATAGCAATGATAATATATCAAGAGACGCATTAAAAAATAAGTGCCAAGCAGCAATGAATAGTCTGTCCTTAGAGTCTGCTTCCACTAACGCTCACAACCCCAGACTCATGGGATGACAGCTCTAAGGCACTTGAACATTCGAGGGTACCCAGGCTTAGAGTATAAAGAGGGATATCAATTTAATCTGATTTGTTTATAAAGTCTGTAACTTTGAGGTAGTAAACTGGTTCCTCTAGCTATTTTTTCTTTCAAAGGCTACTTAAATTCAGATTACTTTTATCACTATGATATAAAAATTACTACTCAAATCTTTATCATGATCATCACCTGTACTTTCATAGTTTGCCATTGCTCCATCACTGGGGCTGGTCCGTTTAATGGCATTCCTGTATTTGTCCAGAATATCCTCAGCAACCTGAGCTTGCACACTGAGTCTAGGGCTGGGATCATCTGCAGGGAAAAGGAGAGTGAGAGAAATAGATCCTTTGGTTTGTACCAACTCTGATGTTAGTATGACACCAGCAGCATAATCCCAAAGGCGGATTAGGAGGTAAGACTCAAAAAGAGCACATATCTCAATGTTAAGAGGCACCATGCAGCTGCCTACTCATCCCATTTCTAGATCTGAGAGCCTTGCCAAAGCAGGAAATAGGGAAGAGTAGCTCCACTTTCTCATCATCACCAGAATTCTGCATGACAGTGTTAAATTTCAGTGCAGACTGAATGAATGACAGATTTCTAAGATATTTACACTCAAATCATGGTTATTATCAACTCATGCTAACAACTTCCAACAATGCATTTTTATATGCATGTACAGACTTCATTTATGCAGACATCTCCATGCTGAAGGAGGAAAAAAAGAACTATTCAAACTTAAACTTTTTAAATACTTTAAAATTGTTCTCTATTCTTCCTTCATTAATCTCTCTCTAAGTCACATTTGAAAACTACAGATATGCATATTCTATCTCACTAGATCTCACCATGACATTGAAGCTGCTGGAACAGAGCCCTTTAGTGCATGCAATGGTATCAGAGGCACTCCTAGAGAATCTAGACATTCTTGGGGAGTGCTGGAATTGTACCTGGGATGCACAGAGAAAAGGCCTATCACAATCACAAAAGCAGCATTGTTTAATGACAGGACTGTTGTTCTGTCAACAAAATCAGCACATTCAAAATGTTATCCTGGAGTCGAAAGTGGTAGTCATTAATTAACTGGGCTGTTAAAGCAAATAATTGCTATAGATCTACAGGACAAAGTAACATTCCACAGGGAAGCTTAAACTCCCAGGATAAACCTAGGCCAAGTAGGTAACTATAAATGCTCACATTCTGGTAGAATCCCATTTTTTTTAAATTTTTTAAAAATCAAAATCATTAGGTTAGATACTGTGTGTGTGTGTGTGTGTGTGTGTGTGTGTGTATGTCTGTGTGTTCATAGCAGCTAATATTAACAGCAGCTAATATTTATTGAGCACTTACCACGTGCCAAGAACTGTACTAAGCACCTTTATATGGATTATCACAATTAATCACCAAACAACCTTACAGGGAGATACTATTTTATCACCCTATGCTACAGAAGAGGAAATCAAGGCATAGAGAAATTAAGTAGCATGCTCATAGGCTCTTTGGTTTCCATAATACAAATATTTGGTATTTATGTCTCTGTGAAATTGTAGTAAACTATAGTTGATCCTTCAAAACATGAGTCTGAACTGTGTAGCTCCACTTATACATGAATTTTTCCTTTCAATCAAATGTAGATTTAAAATACTAGTTTTTAAGCTGGGCATGGTAGCATGTGCCTGTAGTTCCAGCTATTTGGAAGGCTGAGGTAGAAGGATCGCCTAAGCCCAGCAGGTCGAGGCTGCAGTGACCGTGACCATGCCATTGCACTCTAGCCTGGGCAACAGAGAGACTCCAACTCAAAAAAAAAAATACTAGTTTGGCTGGGCATGGTGGCTCACACCTGTAATCCCAGCACTGATAGGCAGAGGTGAGAGGATTGCCTGAGTCCAGGGGTTCAAGACCAGTCTGCACAACATAGCAAGACCCTGCCTCTACAATAAATAAAAAAAATGAGCTGGGCAGGGTGGTACACATCTGCAGTTCTAGCTACTTGGAAGGCTAAGGTGGAAGGATCGCCTGAACCCAGCAAGTCAAGGCTGCGGTGGCCATAAGAATGCCACTGTACTCTAGCCTGGGCAACAGAGTGACTCTGACTCAAAAAAAAAAAGAAAATACTATTTTGGTGAGATACAAAATCAGCATATACAGAGGCCAACTTTTTGTATACATGGCTGCTGGAGGGCTGATTTCAGGGTTTGAATATATGTGAATTTGAGTAGGAGATTATACTGGAACCAATTCTCCAGTACACCAAAGGATGACTGTGAAAGGATTTCCAAAGTAACTTGGTATTTCTGCTATAATGGTATTTGAATTCATGATAAGAGATTCTAATAAAATCTGATCTTTTCCAAAATATAAACTGATAAAACCTTTACCATTACAGAATCTAGAATCTTGTTTTGGAGTGGGAGCACTTTGTGGTTATTGCTTTTTTTTTTTTTTTTTTTTTTTAAGAGACAGAGCCTTGTTATTTGCCCAGGCTAGACTCAAATGATATTCCTGCCTCAGCCTTCCAAGTACTGGGATTATAGGCATGTACTACCACACTCAGCCTTGGTTATTACTTTCAAGTGCTGTTGAGGGCTGTGAAAAAGGAATAATACATTTTGGTTAAACATAGTGAGAGTTAGAATGTTGCTTTTTAACATTTATTTCTATTAACACCATTTGTAAAAATTTTATCCCAGGAAAATAATTAAATCAACAAAAAACTGCGATATGTACAAAGTTGTGAGCACTGTCTTCATAGTAAAAAAAACTGGAAACACTGCCAGGCGCAGTGGCTCACGCCTATAATCCCAGCACTTTGGGAGGTGGAGGCAAGAGGATGGTCTGAGTCCAGGGGTGCGAGACCCGCCTGGGCAACTTGGTGGGACCTTGTCTCTACAATAAATCAAAAAATTATCCAGGTGTGGTGGCAAATACCTGTGGAAGCTACTTGGAAGGCTGAGACAGAAGGATCACCTGAGACCAACAAGTCAAGGCTGCGGTAGCCGTGAGTGAGCCACTGCACTCCAACCTGGGCTACAGAGTGAGGCTTCAATTCCAAAAAAAAATTAGAAACATCAGTGTAGGCAACATAGCAAGATCTCATCTCTTTAAAAAAATTTTTTTTAATTAGCTGGGCATGGTGGTGCATGTCTATAGTCCCAGTTACTTGGGAGGCTGAAGTGGAAGGACTGCTTGAGTCCAAGAGTTTGCAGTGAGTTATGATGACACCACTGCACTCTAGCCTGGGTGACAGAGCAAGACCTTGTCTTTAAAAAAAAAAAAGAGGGCCAGGCTCGGTAGCTCAGCCTGTAATCGCAGCACTTTCGGAGGCTGAGGCGAATGGATTGCCTGAGCCCATGGGTTCAAGACCAGTCTGGGCAACTTGGCGAGACCTCATCTCTACAATAAATAAAAAATTAGCTGAGTGTGGTAGCGTGCACCTATAGTTCCAGTTACTTGGAAGGCTAAAGTGGAAGTATCACCAGAACCCAGCAGGTCGATGCTGGGGTGGCCGTGAGAGTGCCACTGCACTCCAGTCAGGGAGACAGAGTGAGACTCCAACTCAAAAAACAAAAAATTGAGAACAATTTAAATATCTAATAGTAGCCGGGCTCGGTGGCTCAGCCTGTAATCCCGCGCCTTTGGGAGGCTGAGGTGAGTGGATTGCCTGAGCCCGTGGATTCAAGACCCGCCTGGGCAGCAAGACCTCATCTCTACAATAAATCAAAAAATCAGCCGGGCGTGGTAGCGCATGCCTGTATTTCCGGCTACTTGGAAGGCAGAGGAGGAAGGATCGCCGGAGCTCAGCAGGTAGAGGCTGTGGTGGCCGGGAGCGGCCACTGCACTCCAGTCTGGGAGACAGAGTGAGACTCCAAGTCAAAAAAAAAAAAAAAAATCTAATAGTAAGAGAATATTTACACTAGTAGAATTATGATAGATTATCTTATACTCAGTAAATATGATTTAAAACCCAACCATATCTAGTAGAAATTAGGAGGAGGCTTATAAAATAAATGTTTTTAAAAAGAATATAAAGTCAAATGCATAATCTAATTCAATCAGGAAAAGGCCATGTACAAATATGGAGCACAACTAGGAGACAACATAAAAAAGATAGTAGTTGAGGTGGCAGGATTATGGGCATACTGTTAAGAAATTTCCTTTCATAACATTTAAAAACTGATTTAATGATAACTTTTCAATGAGCCTTTAATTAGAACTGGGTAGAAATTTCTGGACCAGCAGGGAACCTAAATTGCTTGACTCATAGTCAAAGAAAATCAATTACTTTATGGAAAAAACTTACTCTACTTAGCTTCTAGTCCCAGGACCAAGAACCCCAAAAAATGTATTGTCCAAAGAGGTAAAAAAATAATGTGCAACTTCTCCAAAGTTATTAATTCAACATTTTAAAAACATGAGATTCCACTAAGAGTAATTCACCATGTGAACATGAGTGTTTTCCTAACATTAGGAACATGTAGTAAGGATACATGAACACTTTGCCAAAAGGACAATGTCTTTCTGACTCTCACCAATCAGACTGGAAGGTCCTGATGAAGAGAGATCAAGTGTGAGTTGACTTAATACCCACTACACATAGCACAGTGCCCGGCATAAGTCAGATAGTCAATAAATATTTGCTGCTTGAATAGGACAGCCCTGGTGGCTCTCAGCAGGAAACCAAGGCCTGTAAGCACATCTCCTTCTGTTCAAAATCCTTTATTCCAGGAAAGTCACCATATCAAATAAAGCAAGGATGTATATGTTAGGACACGAAAATACATCCAAACATAAAGAACTAGATATCAGAATAACATACACTAAAATGGGATTCTACCTATACTATGCTGAAACCTTTGAAGAGGTTGTTCTTTTGAAACATACCCAATTTTTTAATTTTAAAAAAATCTTCATTTTAACTTCGTAGGATAGAATAACATTACTTAAAATCAAGATTTAAAAACGAAGAGATGAGAAATGAACTTCCCTCTGGATGCTCTTCAGCCACTGGGAACAATACTACACAGCTATCAAACCCAAGGTTGGGTCATTAACACTACCTCTCAAACTCTCCTTTTAGAGTGCACGTACATGTGCCAAAAAGAAGCTGCAGAAATAAAAATGTTGAACAAAGTAAGATCCCAACTCCTAGTTGTATTTTCCTTGGGTCAGATAGCATTGCTAAAATGATTCAAGCTGTAAAAAATTAGTAAAGTTTTAGAACTTTTATTATAATGGCTGACAGGTATAATATTGAATAAACACTTTATCATAAAAAAAGAAATGATTAGGTAAAACAGAATTTCATTGTGACCCTGAATAATCTAGTACAAACTATAGATGAAAATAAATTTAGAATTCTATGATAAATGTTAGAGAAAACTATTCAATCAATGATTCAAAGATATGGCATGCATAGCACTAAAACCATCACCACACTTTCCTAAAAGGCACTGTATGTCATCATCCCACTAGATGTCGAGTTGTAGGGTATGCCTAGAGGCTCAGGATCAGGGGCCTCATCATAAACAGAAGTTATGATAATGAGGATGATGATGGTGGTGGCAGTCTGCAGGAAGAGCACACTGAGATTCACCGTGGCTGCCAATTGGAAACCACAGAGCTATGAAGAACATACTCCCCACTGTACACACACAGACACACTCTTCTAAAAAGGCAACGCTTATGACACCCAAGAAAAAGTGTTATGAAATATGTGCTCTGGGAATGAAGGAGCCAGGAAGTCCATAGGTCTACAAACCTGTGAGTGTTGAGAATCTGTCAGGCCCCAGATCATCTCTGTCTTTTTCTTGTTTTTCTTTCTTTCTAAATGGTATAGGAGCTGGAAATTAAATAAAGTCAGTAGTGTGACATATAACATACTGCACTACTTGGAAGTTAACTGGTGTGCCAACATTTCTAAGTGAAAGGAGGTTGAAAAGTTTAAAAGCTAAGAAATCCCAAGTGTCAGCTGACAATCATTCTTAAAATATCATTGAAGGTTCTTAAAGTAGCTTTCAGAATCTGCCTTGAAGTCATCTGTCATAGAAAGAATGATTTCACAGGAATCTATTAGGTCTAAGTCAAAACCATTGTGCTCCAAAACAACACATTCAAAGCTAGCTTCATTCTCTCTTCCCTTAACAAGTGGGCTTGAGTATGGGGTGAAAGCAGCTCTCCTCAGTTCCTGAGCGCCACAGTGCTGAGAAGAGGCCTTTGGAAGAAGTCCCTAGCTTTACTCCTGGATGATCACTCCTTTCAGGAAGAGATGCTTTTGCCAACTCACATGATGCCAGGCTATACACCAAAAAAGAAACACTTTTATACAACTACTTTCCAAAATAAACACTCACTAATACTTAGGTATAAGCATTCCCAAAGAACATAGACATAAAAAGCTTTAATTTATTCCAGGAATGTAAAGGATGAATTTTCAATTTTTAATTATAAGTAGCATCCCATTTTCCTGCAATAATAGCAATACATATGGTCAAAAGTCCTACATGTTTAACTTCATTGGAATATGATATTTAAACAATAGTGACAGGCATGACTTCCATTTATGAAAGCACTACCTGCAAAGAACAAGAAAATTTCTAAAGCTCTACCTTAGCATTCATCTGAGTGAAACCATTTGCTACACCCTCAGAATGGCTAGACACTTAGGCCCAGCAAGTCTCAAAGAGAAGTTGAGATATTGTCTCTCTGAAAAAGATTTTGGGTTTTACTTCTTGTTACTAATACAACATTCTAATATTTGATAAAATTACCTTTAGGCATGGCTGAAACAAAACGTTTTCTCCACCAAGGTCTGTTCCTGTCTGATTTCTCATCATCGCTATCTTTGCGCTCTTCAGTCTGTAGAAAAAGTTTGATGCTTTATTTGGAGTTGGGCACCAGAATAAATTACTATAAAAAAGATTTCAGTCAGTCTTTGAAATACAAAAGCCAGTCATGTTTGTCTTAAAGCAAAGCTGTTCTTAATGCTATGTAGGTGACTTCTAGAACATGGAAGTACACCTTGTAAATACTACACTATCATCTGCTTAAGAGTAGGTTAGTAAACCTTAATACAAGGGTAGGTTAATAAAAGATTAATACAGAGACTGGCGTGTAGTGGGCACTCAATAAAAATAATGTTTGTTTGTTTTGTTGTTGTTTTGAGTTGGAGTCTCACTCTGTCACCCAGACTGGAGTGCAGTGACATAATCACACGTACCACAGCCTCGACCTGCTAGGCTCAGGCAATCCTTCCGCCTCAGCCTTCCAAGCAGCTGGAATTACAGGTGCACACCACCACACCTGACTAGTTTTTTGATTTATTGTAGACGAGGTCTCACCAAGTTGCCCGGGCTGGTCTCGAACCCCTAGGTTCAGGCAATCCTCTTGCCTCCATCTCCTAAGGTACTAGGATTACAGTTGTGAGCCACTGCGCCCAGCCACTAATTATGGAATGAGTAAATGCAGTACAAATAAACTCTAGAAGGGCAATAGAGATGGTAGCAGTAGTAATAATAAAACTGGTTGTATACCATGTGCCAAACACTGATCCTCATAGTAGCCTTAGCAGATAAATCCTATTACTAAGTCTTTTTTATAAATGAGAAACATGACATTAAAAAGGTTATCTAAGCCGGGAATGGTGGCTCACGCCTATAATCCCAACACTTTGGGAGGATGAGATGAGAGGACTGATTACCTGAGCCCAGGGGTTCAAGACCAGCCTGGGCAACTAGGCGACATCTCGTCTCTATAATATATCAAAAAATTAGCTGGGTGTGGTGGTACGGGCCTGTAGTTCCAGCTACTTGGAAGGTTGAGGCTGAAGGATTGCATGAGCCCAGCAGGTTGAGGCTGCAGTTGCCATGAGCATGCTACTGCACTCCAGCCTAGGAGAAAGAGTGAGACTCCAACTGAAACACTCACACACACACACACACACACACACACACACACACACACACACACACACACAGAAAGGTAATCTCTTCATCTTCCTCAAAAGTTACATAGCCTATGTATGGCACAGCTGAGACTCACACCTAGACCTAAACAACTTCAAAGTTCATGTTTTGATCACCAATTATACTAAGTTATCATTAAGACATGTCAAAGGGCAAGGACCTAATTCCTTAACTAGCTTACTTAGCATGTGACCATGGACAAATCACTTAATTTCCATTATTTTCATCTATAAAACAGGGATTAAAAATACGTTCTCAGGCTGGGCTCGGTAGCTCAGTCTGTAATCCCAGCACTTTGGGAGGCTGAGGTAAGTGGATTACCTGAGCCCGTGAGTTCGAGACCAGCCCGTGAAATTTGGTGAGACTTAGTCTCCACAATAAAATAAAAAACTAGCCAAGTGCGATAGCACAAGTCTGTAGTTCCGGCTACTCAGAAGGCTGAGGCAGAAGGGTCACTGGAGCACAGCAGATGAACGCTGGGTTGGCCCTGAGCATGCTACGGCACTCCAGCCTGGGCGACAGAGTGAGACTCCAACTTAAAAAAGAAAAAAAAAACATTCTCGAAGGGCATCCAAGTGAATGAAGTATCAGAATCCTAGCAGAGAGTTTAGGGCACCAGTGATACATAAGAGTTAGCCATGGAGATAGGAAACATTACATACAGTAGGAGTGATCAAATAAATACACAGAGGAAGAATAATGAAAGCAAGTTTCTCACTGTAGGAAAAGGGAGTCAAAAACAGAGAAAGGAAGATAAACTGTTTTTCTGGAATAGAATGCATCAGTGTAAACGCGGTTCTCTCTATGTATACAGATAGATATAGAAATAAGTGTACACACACACACACACACACACACACACACACACACACACACACTCCCTAGCTCTTTCCAATGGGAGCAACACTCCTGCAGCAATGAATACTGTATCCAGATCTCAAATTCTAAAACAACATTTTTCAATAAAAGGAACAAAAGCTCTTTGGAAAAATAGCTGGTTCTAGGATCAGGGCAGATAAAGTACAATATAAGCTTGTAATATCTTGTGCCAGAAAGCAAAGAAATAATCAAAGAATAATAGTGGCATGTCAAAAGAATTCAGGAACCAGCTTGAAGGAGCTCCAGCTGGCCAAATCAGGAACAACTGGACTTTAAAATAAATGATAGTGAAGCCGGGCTCGGTGGCTCAGCCTGTAATCCCGCGCCTTTGGGAGGCTGAGGTGAGTGGATTGCCTGAGCCCGCGGGTTCGAGACCCGCCTGGGCAGCGAGACCTCATCTCTACAATAAATCCAAAAAAAAAAATCAGCTGGGCGTGGTAGCGCATGCCTGTAATTCCAGCTACTTGGAAGGCTGAGGCGGAAGGATCTCCAGAGCCCAGCAGGTCGAGGCTGCGGTGGCCGGGAGCGGCCACTGCACTCCAGTCTGGGCGACAGAGTGAGACTCCAACTCAAAAAAAAATAAATAAATAAATAAATGATAGTGACAAACCCACTGAATAAAATAGAAAATCATGGGACCCTGGATATAATTAACAAATAGATAAGTTAAAAATAGGATGATAAACAGGATGGTTACATATTTTCAAGGTCCTGCGCGTGCATACACACACACGGGCGCATACACACACACACACACACACACACACACAAATACTACTAATTATAAAGGAAAAAACAAACACACACACACAAACACACACACACACACACACACACACACAAATACTACTAATTATAAAGGAAAAAACAAAAAAACAGAGAGGATTGCCTGAGCCCAGGGGTTTGAGACCAGCCTGGGCAACTTGGTGAGACCTCATCTCTACAATAAATCAAAAAGTTAGCCAGGCATGTTGGTGCGCCTGTAGTTCCAGCTACTTGGAAGGCTGAGGTGCAAGGCTCACCTAAGCCAAGGAAGTCAAGGCTACAGTAGGCACAAGTATACCACTGCACTTCAGCCTGAACGACAGACTAAGACTCTGACTCAAAAAAAAAAAATTATAAAGGGAAAAACAGTAACTTCACAGTGGCAAAGCTTAGAGACAACACCTTCATCAAATGAGCCAAATAAACAACAGTAAGGGGACAAATTAAAAAATTAAAACTGTGCTACCTGACAGGATGCAATTAAAAGAACACAGTTTCATTTTAGTGATATTCCTGCCAAAGATGAATAAACTGAATCTAATCATAAGAAAATATCAAATAAACCCACATTGAGGGATATAATAGAAATTTCAAAGGTATCATGGTTATGTAAGTCAAGAAAAAACTGAGGAACTTTTCTAGACTGAAAGAGACTAAAAAGACATGACAACTGAAAGCAACCTAAATGGGATCCCATTCCTATAAAATATGTTACATGAACAACTGGGAACACATGAATGGGGTATGAGAAGTAGCTGGTAGTAATGTATCAATATTCATTTACTGACATTGATGGTTGTACTATGATATGCAGAGAATGTGCTTGTTTGTAGGAAACTTATACTAAAGTATTCAAAGGTGATAGAGCATTGGGTTGGCAAACTTGCTCTCAAATGGGGAGAAAGCGTTTTTATTGTACTTCCAATATTTTTGTACCATTAAGGCTGCTTCAAAATAAAAAAATAATAGTCATCTAACCATTTCAGGGGGGATACTGTGAGGTTTAAATGAAATCACATACAAAAATGCTTGGAGAAAGTTAAAAGTGTCATAAAAATGCAAGATTGTTTTACTACAAAATCAAAGTTGTATAAGCTTCCTATGGGTTATAGTCCTGGGAATATGAGATTGACAAATCTTCTTTAAACAAGACTACTGTTCATCCTTAATTCTCTTGAAGCCAGTTTATTTTTATTTAAAAAAAATTTTTTTGAGTTGGTGTCTCACTCCATCACTCAGACTGGAGTACAGTGCCACAATCACGGCTCACCACAGCCTTGAACGCCTGGGCTCAAGTGATCCTCCTGCCTCTGCCTCCCAAGTAGCTAGGGTTATAGGTGCATGTTGCCGTGCCTGGCTAATTTTTTTTTCCTATTTTTTCTAGAGATGGTCTCGTTTTGTTGCCCACGCTGATCTCACACGCCTGGCATCAGGCCGGTCTCGGTGGCTCAGCCTGTAATCCCAGCACTTACAGAGGCCAAGGCATGTGGACTGCCTGAGTCCATGGGTTCGAGACCAGCATGGGCAACTTGAAGAGACCTCATCTCTATAATAAATAAAAAAAATTAGCCAGGCATGGTAGCGCATGCCTGTAGTTCCAGCTACTTAGAAGGCTGATGTAGAAGGATCGCCAGAGCCCAGCAGGTCGATATTGGGGTGGCCATGAGCATGCCACTGCACTCCAGCCTGAGTGATGGAGTGAGACTCCAACTCAAAAAAAAGTTTTTTAAATAAAAATCAACGGGCCTCAAGTGATCCTTCCACCTCAGCCTCCCAAAGTGCTGGGATTATAGGTGTGAGCCACTGCGCCCAGTTACTAATTCTAGATTTATATATTTCATGTTCATTTCAGATATCAAGAGAACTAGGCAGACAGAACATTAAAGCTGAACACAATTCGCAAATTATTCTACACGGCCTGTGTCCCATACCTCGCCTCTTGAGGAGTCCTTACTCGGGGACGAAGATGATGAGTGAGGTGCAGCCACCAAAGAAGTAGCACCAGTGGCCGCGACCGGAACAAGTTCTCGCTCTTCATTTCCTGGACGTCGGTTCCAGCTGGGGTCACTCATGGGTCGCCGGACAGAAGATACTATATCAGAGCTCCTGCTTCGAACTAGCCTCTCCGGGTAAGAATGCCTTTGCTTGAATGCCTCCATTTCAGCTGGAGTTAAAATATGGGAACCAAAGTTTGGCAATCTGGCCTCATTTCCTCCCACAGCTCCTTCTAGTATTGGGGGATCTGGTGGTGGGTGTGATGGCCTAGCATAATGAACCTTAGGCCTTACCACAGCAGAGGGCCCTGCAACACAGAAAAAAAGTTTTGTAACTGAAACACAACTAACTGAACAAAGGCATTAACAAAGGGGTTTGGTTTCTTTCTTCTGTCTATGATAAGAGTAAAAGAGTTCATTTCACGAGTTTACCTTCATGTGAAGACAGTGGATCAAACATGGCCAGCAAAGACTCTGACTGAGAAGGAGGAGAGGTCAGCTGCTGGGCACCTAAAACAGGAAGGCAAACTATGAGATCAAGCCAGAACCCAGGACAGGGAGAGTTTCAGCACAGTGAAAAAGATTCTAAGTGTTCTTTGAGTTTTTGTTTTTTGATCAATTAGAACTTGAGAGGAATACCAGAAAAAAAAAACTTGACAAATATCAAATTCTGATTATTTAAAATTAATTTTACACTTCTTTATCTTCATACACGGATTTTCATTACATTTAAGTGGTCTAGCATCTACATGCTTGTTACTTCTTTTTTTTTTTTTTTTTTTTTTTTAAGTGCAGAAGTGATGTGTGTTATTGGGAATTACAACGGGTCTTTTTTTTTTGAGTTGGAGTCTCACTCGGTCGCCCAGACTGGAGTGTAGTGGCCGCTCCCGGCCACCGCAGCCTCACCTGCTGGGCTCCGGCGATCCTTCCGCCTCAGCCTTCCGAGTAGCTGGAATTACAGGCATGCACTACCATGCCCGGCTGATTTTTTGATTTATTGTAGAGATGAGGTCTCGCTGCCCAGGCGGGTCTTGAACCCGCGGGAGATATTCCACTCACCTCAGCCTCCCAAAGGTACGGGATTACAGGCTGAGCCACCAAGCCTGGCACAAATGCTTGTTACTTCTAATGGCCAAATGCTATTATGGTTAGTGCAAATACTGAGCCAGAAAACCTAAGCCATCAAAACATTTGAATGCTACAGCATCCCTGAGCTTCACCTTTCCCTCACCTATCAACATATAGGGGCAACACTATCCACAGCCAGGGCAAAAATGAAAAGCTGTAAAATATGAAATTCTAATACTATTCTCAGCAAATGACCTACTTTTAAAAAGAACCCGTAAGAAAAATTAATACTATATCACAAAACAAACTCTAACTTCAAAAGTGCTCCATTTTAAGCTACACAGTAAAAGATGATTCCTCTAAGCATATGTCTAAACAACCAAAACAAATATTAACCCTTTGCACTAGGATGTCCCCTCTGAGAGACATTGTAAATCTAGCAAAAGACTCAGATGTCCACTCTCAAGGGACACAAAGAGATTGTCGGAGATCACATAGGACAAATGCATGCAAGTACAAATTTTTCAAAAATGTATGCTTCCTTGAAGTTTTCCATCCAAATTGCATGAAAAAGCAAGTAAAGATATGGAATATATAATGAGATATGCTCAATCAGTGGAGAAGTGGTTTTCAGAAATCATGAGTACGTCCTTTCACATCATCTTCAAATGACGAACTGGACAATAAATTATGTATTATTAATGTGGGAGGAAGAAATCGAGACTGCACTGTTTGCTCAAATAGAAAAACACCAAGTGGAAAACATCAAACAAATTACTATTGTACAACATGTATCAATGAAATTGCAATACATGTTGGTGATTGTTTCACCTGCTACCACACGTTAGAAAAATATAAGATAGAAAATTTTGATTTTTTTTGTCATAAATAAGTTGCTCAATGTCCAAAATTCCGTTATAAGTCAAATATCATTACAATAAAATAATGGGTTCCAATGCTATACTATTTAATATGAAGTGATGCATTTTTGCCTATTTCGAAAAAGTATGGTCGAGTTGCTTGTAGTTGATCTGTGAGATATCTCCGAGTACAAAGGGATAAAATAAAATAGTAAGCATGCAAAGGCTGAAACTTTCTTTTTTTTTTTTTTGAGTTGGAGTCTCACTCTGTCACCCAGATTGGAATGCAATGGCCGCTCCCGGCCACCGCAGCCTCGACCTGCTGGGCTCCGGCGATCCTTTCGCCTCAGCCTTCCGAGTAGCCGGAATTACAGGCGTGCACTACCACGCCCGGCTGATTTTTGATTTATTGTAGAGATGAGGTCTCGCCAAGTTGCCCAGGCAGGTCTCGAACCCGCGGGCTCAGGCAATTCATTCACCTCAGCCTCCCAAAGCGTGGGATTACAGGCTGAGCCACCAAGCCCGGCTGAAACTTTCAAGTACAAAAAAAGAAACTGTTAAATCTAAACTTTTTTAGTATGAAACTGTATTATAATGAATGATAATATTATTACGCTTTTTGAGTTTTCCTTCTGTTCTATAGTTTGTATCATTATAAAAGATAACTTAGTACCCGGGAGTGATAGCCTGTAGTTCCAGTTACTTGGAAGCTGAGGCGGAAGGATCACCAGAGTCCAGTCTGAGTGTGTCACTGCATTCCAGCCTGGGTGATGGAATAAGACTCCAACTCAAAAAAAAAAAAAGAGATAACTTAGAATACTGGTTTCTCAAAATTTTGGTCTCAGGACACCTTAAAAATTATTTGTCACTAAAAGCTTTTGTTTATGTTGGTTATATATATTAATATTGACTATATTAGAAATTAAAACTGAAGTTTAAATTTTTTTTGAGTCGGAGTCTCACTGCAGACTCGATCTGCTGGGCTTAGGCAATCCTTCCACTTCAATCTTCCAAGTAGCTGGAACTCTGACTCAAAAAAAAAATTTATTGTAGAGATAAGGTCTTGCCAAGTTGCCCAGACTGGTCTTGAAACCCTGAACTCAGGCAATCCTCTCGCCTCCACCTCCCAAAATGCTGGGATTACAGGTGTGAGTCACCATGCCTGGCTTGTAGCAAACCTTTAAAAAACTACTACTTGTCAAAATTTGGTAGAGTATCAAAGAAGGATATTCACAATTTTCTGAGAAGGCTATTAACATAGTGTCTCTTTTCCAGTTACATATCTGTGTGAGGCCAGATTTTTGTGGGTTTTTTTGTGGTTCTAGCTACTTGAAAGGCTAAAGCAGAAGAATCGCCTGAGCTCAGAAGGTCAAGGCTGCAGTGGCCGTGATCATGCCACTGCTCTCCAGCTATCTCCAGGGTGACAGAGTGAGACTTCAACTCAAAAAAAACAAAAAAAGGTTAGATACAAGATGAAATTTGAAACCAAATCAATGAACCTTCTGTACTGTTACATTAAAATGAATTGGTCTATCTTGTACTTTGAATGAATCTTTTGAGTAAAAGACATGAGTATGTCTGATTTTCATAACATCATGCACTGATCATTTAGAAAATATTGTTTCAACCAGATGTGCATATTTTCCAAATGTTGACACATTTTATCATGTAATATAAAAATCACATTCTTGATATCACCACCAATCTCACCAGAGAAGTCTTTAAATAAAAGGAAACTGTCAAGCTCAAGTAGATAGATGCAAGTTTCCAAAATTCTAATTCTCATCTGGAAGTTTAAATTTTATTACTAGCAACAAATTCTACTTCATTAGTTGTTTTTCTTGAAGTGCTACTTTGTTCATTATTGAGAAAACGTAAAATATCCATGTATATACTCATGCAAACCAGTTTGTCTGTCAGTCATTCTTTCAAGTAAAAATGATATTTCGGCCGGGCTTGGTGGCTCAGCCTGTAATCCCACGCTTTGGGAGGCCAAGGTGAGTGAATTGCCTGAGCCCGCGGGTTTGAGACCCGCCTGGGCAACTTGGCGAGACCTCATCTCTACAATAAATCAAAAACTAGCCAGGTATGGTAGCACACGCCTGTAGTTCCAGCTACTCGGAAGGCTGAGGCGGAAGGATCGCCGGAGCCCAGCAGGTCGAGGCTGCGGTGGCCGGGAGCGGCCACTGCACTCCAGTCTGGGCGACAGAGTGAGACTCCAACTCAAAAAAAAAAAAAAAAAGATATTTCATGAAAAATAAACAAAAGGAAACAAAATCTGGCTTGTTAAGCTAACAACTCAATCGTACAATTGCTTTTATTTGAAGCATCTCATCCTATCTTAGAATGCAGCAGAAATACAATAGGGGTATTTTCTATTTCTTCACAAAGAATACTAAAAAATGCGTACTCAAAGGTTGAGATGTATGTAATTAAACAATTTTTACTGCTTCATTAAGGGCATTCATAAGTAAAACTTTTTTTCTTTTTAAAGTGTGAGTGAAGGCAGGCATGGTAGCTCACGCCTGTAATCTCAGCACTTTGGGAAGTGGAGGCAAGAGGACTGCCTGAGTTGAGGGTTCGAGACCACCCTGAGCAACCTGGTGAACCCTCGTCTCCACAATAAAGATAAATCAGCCAGGTGTGGTGGTGCGTGCCTAAAGTTTCAGCTACTAATTCTTGGAAGGTTAAAGCGGAAGGACAGTTTGAACTTAGCAGGTAGAGGCTGCAAAGGCCACAAGCATGCCATCACACTCCAGCCTAGGCAACAGAGTGAGACTTCGACCCAAAAAATAAAATAAATTGTGAGTGAAGAATACAACAACTGCTATAAAGTTTGGTGCTATTGTGTTATGTGAAGGCCACAGCAAATTTCATCCATCTTTGCTTGTGCAAATGTCACCACAGTGACGATGGACAATAACATTTTTATGGAAATAGTTTTTACCTCCTATCCCTCTCACCCGCCTCAAAGGGTCTTGAGTGGTCCATGGAGACCACACTATAAGACTGCTGGTTTACAACCGCAGTTCTCTATTGGTTGTTATGTTACCCCTCAAGGGACCATTTGGCAATGTTTGGAGACATTTTTGGTTGTCACAATCCCAAGGGTGAAGGGTATATGCTACTGGTAGAGGCCAGGGATGCTGTTAAACATCCTATAATGCACAGGACAGGCACCTACAACAAAGAATTACCCAGAACAAAATGTCAATAGTGTTGAGGTTAAAAAACTCTGGTTTAGAACCAAAAAAACAATTTTAAAAAAGGACCTCAAAACCCACTACATAACATATAAAAACACTGTTAGCATTTCTTTCAGTTCCTTCCCTATGCATAAGTTATTAAACATTGTATTATCTTGTATATAAAATTCTATAAAATAAACTTTCCACATAATATGTTCTAGGTATTTCTCCAAGTTATTTCATATTCTCTAAAGCAACTAAATAAATAGCTACAGCCAGGCATGGTGGCTCACAACTGTAATCCCAGTACTTTGAGAAGCAGAGGTGAGAGGACTGCCTGAGCTCAGGGGTTTGAGACCAGCCTGGGCATCATGGCAAGACCTTAGCTCTACAATAAATTAAAAAATTAGCCGGAGCCAGGCTTGGTGGCTCAGCCTGTAATCTCAGCACTTTGGGAAGCCAAGGTGAGTGGATTGCCTAAGCCCATGGGTTCAAGACCAGCCCAGGCAACTTGGTGAGACCTCATCTCTACAATAAATAAAAAAATTAGCCGGGTGTGGTAACGCATGCCTGTAGTTCTAGCTACTTGGAAGGCTGAGGTGGAAAGATAGCTGGAGCCCAGCAGGTCGAGGCTGGGATGGCCATGAGAGTGCCACTGCACTCTAGCCTGAGTGATGGAGTGAGATTCCAACTAAAAAAAAAAAAAAAATTTAGGCAGCACAGTGGTACACACATGTAGTTCCAGTCACTTGGAAGGCTGAGACAGAAGGATTGTCTGAGCCCAGCAGGTCAAGGCTGCAACAGCTACGAGCATGCCACTGCCTTCCAGCCTGGGCAACAGAGTGAGACTCTGACTCAAAAAGGTAAATAAATAAATAGCTACAAAATTCTAATAAATGGTTACATAAGAATTTTGTTAGCCATTCTATTTTTCAATTTTTAAGTTGTTCCTAATTTTCTACCAATATACATGTTATAAAGAACATCTTTGTGCACAAGACTTGTCTCTATACATGGAATTATTTCCTTATGATGGATTCCTAGAAGTGGAACTAACTTAACCAAATTTAGAATGTGAACATTTAAGGCTTTAAATACATAAGGACAAATTATACATCAAATGCTATACCAATTGATGTTATCACCAGCAATGTGTAAGAGTACCAGTTTTAACCATGGTTGTGATCATCCTTATTTCCCCTTCTTACCATGAGTTATTTCATCCATGTCTGGACTAGTAACAGAATCTTTACCCCCAAAATCAGAGCTGCACTCAGATCTCAGGTCTTCAATCTTATTGGGAATATCCTCAGAGGTAGCACTTATGCCTTAAAAAAAATTAATTAAAAAAATAAACAGCAAGAAGAACAAAATAATCACACAAAAAGTATAACAGGTTTGGGGAAATTTAAACATTCTCAAATTTTATGTGTACCAGTTCTGTACATGCAAATTGTTTAGTATTATACCCTTTATTGTACTATTGCTTAAATATACTTACTTTGCTTTACACAACATAATCAGAATTATCATGTGGTATCTAAATATAATAAGCAGAGGCAGTCGGGCTCGGTGGCTCAGCCTGTAACATGGCGTCTTTGAGAGGCTGAGGTGAGTGGATTGCCTGAGCCCACAGGTTCGAGACCTGTTTGGGCAGCGAGACCTTATCTCTACAATAAATCAAAAAATTAGCCGGGTGTGGTAGCACGTGCCTGTAATTCCGGCTACTCAGAAGGCTGAGGCAGAAGGATCACCGGAGCCCAGCAGGTCGAGGCTGCGGTGGCCGGGAACGGCCACTGCACTCCAGTCTGGGCGACAGAGTGAGACTCCAACTCAAAAAAAAAAAAATAAATAATAATAATAATAATAAGCAGAGGCTACTAAGAACAGGAAGAGTTGTAAAGGGAAGAGTTGTAAAGGGGTCTGTTTGCCAATTACTTTAACAGGTTCTTTAAAGTCACACATTAAGTTCTCAAAGATTTAAGATGCAATGGAAATAACTTTGTTTCCTAAAAATTACACAGCTCTTAAATAAAATGTATCTCTCTGTATCAACTTTATAAATAAGGGGTAAGAGAGTGAACACCTTCAAATCCCTAGTCCTTAAAACAAGACAGACATACCCGACACAACACTGAGGCCTGGTGTGCTGGGGCGGGAACTGACCTCCCTGACATCCGTATCATCAGATGTGCTACCCAGTCCAGAACAGCTCTCCAATTCTTGCAGACGCTCCTCCTGCTTTAGGTCTGGGGCCTCTAAACAGAAGGCAAGAGGTGTTACATTAGTGACTCTGTTGGCACACAATTTCAGTTTTTGTGACCCAGATAAATAAAGTTGCCAGGGCAAGAATGAAATCACTATAAACATATTGCTAAGTCTGGGCAAGTTAGCAAAGCTAGTTAGATAAGTGTTAAGTCAAAGATGTGATTTTCATCCCAATACAGGCCAGTTCATTGTGCACAGATGAAAGCTCTGTTTCAAGATCACTAATCTTACAGAGTATGCTGTTGGTTAACATGTAAACTGGACAAAAGAGTATGAAACACTTTAGTATTAAATCAACTACTTCCTAAAAAGTAACTCCTATGAATACTCATAGTTGGTAAGCTAATCCTATTGCCCCTACTTGTCTCTAGACAAGGGTGGCATATCTGAATGCTTTAACATTATAAAACACATACTGGGATCACTTAGTTATTCTTGAACCAAGTAAATCAGATAGAATGTAATGCAGATATATAGTTACTTATAGTCTGCATTCTGGAAGTTGACATTTAGTTGAAGGCAAAGGTGTGTTTTCATTATCAGAAAAAAAAAGTAGAAATGCAATATATAAGAAAAAAGAAGTACAAAATAATTTATATACATTTGTAATAATACTGCACAAAAGAGTCCTCAGGACTACAGAGTCACAATCTCAACATATTTCAAAAACACATTAAACATGTTTAGAGGGTCAAGTTCTTCCCTGTGATAAATGCTTACCAGGCAGTCAGTCACTCAGGATTTGAGCTATATTGCCAAACTTATCCTGTGATGAGTTAGTAGGAGATACTGCACTCAATGACCCACACAGAACCCTGAGAAGTTACAAGCAATTGCTTCCAAAATAACTGAACACCTGTCAGAAAGTACCTTCCATCTTAGTCTACGCTATTTATTATTATATTTTTTCTTAATGGACAGAAAATGTTCTTAACTAATTTTCCAGGTAAAATTCTTAGCAATGTGATTGCCTCACCCTTGTCATACATATATTTGACAAAATGCATGTAATATAAAAATTAGGATACCTTAGATATAAAACGTTTGTGTATTAAAAAGGAAGCAATTACAGCATACTAACCTGAGTCACTTGGCAATACCTCTACACTCCAAGCTTCACTAGTTGTCTCTGATATGGTAGAACCAGTGCAGGGGTCAAGGAGCACTGACCCTGAACCTGGGAGGCACAGCAAACTGCCTAACATGTTCTCTGCTGCTGCACCTGTGTAACCAGTAGGGAGCAAAGGATTAACAAAGATGCTGATGGAAAGTACAGTGATAATGAACAAAGGCCAAACACTAAGCTAACAAAACCTCTCTACCCACAAAAAAGAAGCCAGGATCAGAACAACTTCAATCAAGTACACCACTAAAAACACAATGTTCCCACTTTGGCCACAACAGCACAACCTCCTTTTCATCAGTTTCCTCCTGTTCACTGTGACTCTCCACAGAGAAGAAGGCACACATTATTAGGTCATTTCACTTTGGTTTTTCAGTAGATTTTAGAAGAGTCTTTAATATCTTTCTAAAATTTATAACCCTACAGGGATTAAAAACACTCACAGAGATTTAACCACAGAAAAGTTATATTGACCAAATATGTTTTCTTCTAGCACATTAGCCATTTATTCAGAGCAATAAAATATATTCATAGGAAAATACACATCTTCACAATACGCATTCAACTGCAAATACAGCTTATTGCTCAAATAAAGCTTACTGCCAAGAACAATATTACGCTGGCATCTGGAACAAAGCAATGCAAACCAATTAAGAAATCTATTTACACTAGTTAAAAATACAAATAGAAAGTATTAAACATTATCATACATCTGTGGTAAAAATACTGAATCTCAGAAGGCTCTACTACTTTTGATTAAGCGTAATAAAAAAATAATTCTTCTTCAGTGCATGAAAAAAATTTTGTAAAAAAGTTACCAGTATGTGTTACCTTTTAAAGATATAACATGAAATAATTACAAATAAAATAATGTCTGGGACTTGCCAAAACATAATGGAGAAAGAAGAGAAGAGGGTAGTAGGTAGGAAAATGGATGAAACAAAATGGCCATGTGTCTAACTGTTGTCACTGACTAATGGGTACTTTGGGTTCATGATACCATTCTCTCTTGTATTTGTTTAAAGTTTTCAATGATTTAAAAAGAAAATGGCACTTTGTGAGGACAAGGTGGGAGGAATCACTTGAGGCCAGGAGTTCAAGACCAGCCTGGACAACCAAACAAGATCCCCCATCTCCACAAAAAATTTAAAAATTAGCCAGGCATGGTGGCATGTGCCTATTAGTCCTAGCTACTTGGAAGGCCGCGGTGGGAGGATTGCTTGAGCCCAGTAGCTTGAGGTTACAGTGAGCTATGGCCACTGCACTTCAGTCTGGGCAAAACAGTAAGATCCTGTCTCTAAAAAAAAAATAAACCGGGCTCGGTGGCTCAGCCTGTAATCCCGCGCTTTGGGAGACCGAGGTGAGTGAATTGCCTGAGCCTGCTGGTTCGAGACCTGCCTGGGCAACTTGGCGAGACCTCATCTCTACAATAAATCAAAAAAATTAGCTGGGCGTGGTAGTGCACGCCTGTAGTTCTGGTTACTTGGAAGGTTGAGGCGGAAGGATCGCTGGAGCCCAGCAAGTCGAGGCTGCAGTGGCCGGGAGTGGCCACTGCACTCCAGTCTGGGCGACAGAATGAGACTAACTCAAGAAAAAAAAAAATTTTTTTAAATACATAAAGAACATGAAAATGGTGGTTACAAAATTGTAAGAATCTTTCAGAACTCATAGAAAAGTATACAAAAGCTGGCGCAGTGGCTCACGCCTATAATCCCAGCACTTTGGAAGGCTGAGGTGAGAGGACTGCCTAAGCCCGTGGGTTCGAGACAAGCCTGGACAATGTGGTAAGACCTCATCTCTAAAATAAATTTTTTTAAAATTAGCTGGGCATGGTGACACGTGCCTACAGTTCCAACTACTTAAAAGACTGAGGCAGAAGGATTGCCTGAGCCCAGGAGGTTGAGGTTGCAGAGCTGGGAGCATGCCACTGCCCTTTCTAGCCTGCATCACAGAGTGAGACTCCAACTCAAAAAAAAAAAATCCAAAAGAGGGTAAATCTTAATATATATAAATTGTACCTCAATAAATTTGACAAAGAAAAAAAAGAAGAAAAATATCGTTACCTTTTGAGTTCTTCCAGAGGCTAATTCACTATTTTAGAGAATATCAATATCATGCTATTCTGAAAGGTTTTATGGCTATAATCTGTATGAATTTTCACCTTAAGGTAAGGTGTTTAGTCTCAAAAGGAGAATATACTTACTAATCAAAGACAGACTAAAAACATGTACTATGTCCTGCAAACAAGACTTGACCAGAAGCTAATTCAAAAGACTGGTTTTTCTTTTTTGGGGGGGTCTGGAGAGAGGATGGGATTAAATGTAGAAAGGGAAAACACTACCTAGAAAAAAGTACCCAACTTCCTTGTTCCACAGTTATCACAGTATCCCAATTGATGCTAACACATACACATTTGTCAGACCACTAACACTCCTTCCCATGATAGGTAGCTAGATATGAATAACTAAACATCAATCTTCCCAAGACATTAAATAGCAGTTACCTGCAATTTCTTGCAAGCGATCTTCATCGATGTTAGGGTCAAAGTCACTTCCCAAGACATCTGTACTCCAGGTCTCACTTACTGTTTCTGATATGTCCCTATCATCTGTTAGTCCCATCATGTCACGAATTTCAAATTTCCTAAGTTTATCATCAAGGTTATCTTGTGTTGTAGCTATCAAAAACAAAATTAAGCACTGTAAAAACAGTAGTACAACTATGACTTTTTAATCAACTTTAAAAAACCTTTATGTCTTTGAACTTCAAGTTGCTTGTTCTATCATTATTAAGTAGGTAGTACCATCTTAGACCAACTAGACTTAGCTGGGGGGTCAATTCCCTACCAACCAATGATCCCCAGCTAAGATTAGCAGAGTTCCCTACCCAACCACTGGTGACTGAAGACACGTGAGTAAGCCTGGTCAAAATAAGACGCACCAACCAGCTTACCCATAAACTTCAGAGCAAAAATAAATGTTTTGGGGTGATTTGTTATAGCATTGTTGAGGCAATAATTAATTGATAAACCCATACCAAAAATGTTTTTCCCTTAACTCCTTAATGTACTCTCAAGTTTTCTCTCCTCCCTAGGCTGATTTCCTTCAATTTACTTCTAAACCCAGTGTTTCACAAAATGTAGACTGCTGACCACCTACATCAGAATCGCCCAGAAGGCTTGTTAAAGGTGGTATCTGTTCGACTTCTGTCATAAGCTAATACAGTCCTCCTGCTTTATCCAAGGGGGATACGTTCCAAGACCTCCAGTGGATACCCAAAACTCGGGATAGTACAGAACCCTATATAAACTATGTTTTCTCGATCTGATAACCATGATGGCTACTAAGTAACTAATAGGCAGATAGTGTACACAACATGGATACACCGAACAAAAACAATGCATGTCCTGGATAGGACAGAACAAAACTGCACAAGATTCCATTACTCAGAATGGTACACAATTTAAAACTATGAATGTTTCTTTATGGAACTTTCCATTTAATAATTTTGAACCAGTCAGGCATGGTAGCTCACACCAGTAATTCCAGCAATTTGGGAGGCGGAGGCGAGAGGACTGCCTGAGACCAGGGGTTCAAGACCAGCCTGAGTAACTTTGCGAGACCTCGTCTCTATAATAAAGAAAAATTAACCGGGATTGGTGGCTCAGCCTGTAATCCCAAGCTTTGGGAGGCTGAGGTGAGTGGATTGCCTGAGCTCGCAGGTTCGAGACCCCCCTGGGCAACTTGGCGAGACCTCATCTCTACAATAAAAAATAAATCAGCCGGGTGTGGTAGCACATGCCTGTAATTCCGGTTACTCGGAAGGCTGAGGCGGAAGGATCACCGGAGCCCAGCACGTCGAGGCTGCAGTGGCCGGGAGCGGGCCACTGCACTCCAGTGTGGGTGACAGAATGAGACTCCAACTCAACAACAACAAAAAAACCACTTTCCTTCACAACTTGTTGGTTTTGGAAATATCTGCAAAGTATTACAGAGTTGGATATATCGGATCACTACTTACGTGGGCATATTAGATAGCTACCTTCTCTTTACTACTTCAAGGACACTCTTATTCTTGGCTGAAATGCAAGCTTGTTTACTTGTGGATTCACAACGTTGACTTTTCTGATTCTGATTCTTTTTCATATATAAGATGACTGGAAACAGGTTTACACACAAAATGACATTTTTATTGTCCTACTTCAAAAAATGGATTCAGCCTCGGTTTGCTGGGCTCCGGCGATCCTTCCGCCTCAACCTTCCAAGTAGCCGGAACTACAGGTGCGTGCCACCACACCGGGCTAATATTTTTTTTTTTTTTGAGTTGGAGTCTCACTCTGTCACCCAGACTGGAGTGCAGTGGCCGCTCTCGGCCGCCACAGCCTCAACCTGCTGGCCTCCAGCGATCCTAACACCTCAGCCTTCCAAGTAGCTGGAACTATAGGCACGCGCTACCACGCCTGGCTCATTTTGATTTATTGTAGAGATAAGGTCTCGCCAAGTTGCCCA